CTGAGAAACAGTTCTGTTCAGGATAACCAGAGGTACTAGAACAAAACCACAACAAACCCAAGAACAAACTCAATTCCAAAGCATCCTTCCAATGCCTTCAGGTATTCGACACCGTGCACATTGGAGCACTTTACATGGTACAGAGAAGGTGCACAGAAGCAACACAGAGGTGCATAGAGGGAAATTTAACATACTTTAAAATACCATGCCAACTTCATAAAACCAAGAAGTAATCAGAGTACCCCTTAATTTAACAGCTGAGATTTCCAAACTTAACAGGAAAACAAGTTCTATATTCACAACACTAGTACCAAAGCTGAATTATGAAAATGAGGTGCAAAGGAAGAATTATATAAGGAACCAGTTGTTCTCCACTCTTTTCAGGGTCATCTCCATCAAAGAAAATGGAATTTTATCAATAACATAGCAATCAGTATTAATTTAGTTGACTTAGACTAAGTGCTGGAGGTTTTTTGTTGTCATTGTTTGTTTGGGGTGATTTTTTTGGGGTTTTTTTTGGTTGGGGGTTTTTGGTTGGTTGGTTGGTTTTGCTTTTTAGGGATTTTTTTGCAACTGAAATGAAACATCCTTATTTTAGGAGATCTGATTGGAAAACTCAAGATCATAGACTATAAACTTCTTTCAAAGAATATTTGTTCTGTTTGGATATTTGAAGTGAATTTTAAATTATGATTGGCAATTTTGTGTTAAATTTGCAGCCAAAGTATAAATCTAAGTTTAGACAAACAAACTACATTTAACCTGTTGGTTCACCAAACAGGTTCACTTATAGCAGAAAAATAATGGGAAAACCCCCAAAAACTGTTATCCTGCTGTTTTGAGGTTCTCTGCTGATACTGCAGCTGAGGAGTACAATGCATGTCCATTTTGATAGAATTCATTATGTTCATACAGCATAACCTGTACTGCCATGAACAGCACTGATTTGAAACTTGACTCCCTGCTCCCCATATCACTGTACTCACAGCCAAAATTGACTTTACAAAGCTGCAAAATATGCATTTGGTTCATTTTTTCTAGAAATAAATACATGTAGGAAAGATTTATTTAACACTCTAGGTGGGAGAGGAAACAGGAGAAAGATTTTTTTTCCAGTTCTAGAAGGTTAGAAAGATGTTCTACTAATTAGAAATAAAAGTTTACCAGAAAGCTTAGTAAATAATGGTCCCAGGTCTTGTGAAGCCATAATACTTCCAGCCAAAATGAGGAATACTTTCTTATTAAAAAAAAAAATCTCCCATACAAAAACCCAGACGATAGTAATATTGCAATCAGTAGCTTTGAAGTATCAAGTTCAAACTGAACGTAGTAAGAGGATACTGTATAGTTGGTGCCAACAAAATTAGAATTTAACAAATGAGAATCCAAAAAGACCCCATTATAAGCCAAGAGAACGGAAGTCAAGTTAGAAGCCAAATGATAATCCAAAAGAATGAGAGACATGCCAAGACTGGCCTAGAGAGTCCCTTTTTCTATTTTAATCACCAGCTAGATTTGTGTTGAAGAATGAAGCCATCAGCAATTTGCTGTTGCACTAAGTCACCCAGATGCAGTTAGAACTAGAGGAGGGTGTGTGGTCAGTATGACCATAGTATGCAGCAAGAGGGAACACAGAATCATCTGACATCACACTTTTCTTGTTTCTGGAGGATAAATGTTCTGTGCCAATATGCTGGAAGAAGCATATGTACCTGAGACAAAGATGGGAACACTATTTTGGAGGGGACAGTAATACATACCCATCCTGGTGGAAGTTTAGATTAAATTTAGAGATTAATTTTGCCAATTTTGCTGAGTGATTAATTCTATGAATCCCTAAAATTTGGAAATCTATGTCACCTAAAATATCCTAGATTAAGTTACTGCACAGTTCTCCTACATTTTGAGAACTGTCTGCCCTTTGTTTTTTCACTTTTTCTTCTTGCCATTAGAAAGGATCACTTTCTCAACCATCTCTAATTCATTTACTTTAGGCTTGACAAAATTGACCCATGCCTTCTTTCCTCTAGTCATTTATGTCGTGAATTAATGCTCCTACTAAGGAAGCAGGACTGTGTAAAAGTAATTTCTATATTAACAATTACATCTGATCAATTATCTCAACCATAGAGGAGTTTAAGATCACTAAAGAACTTTTAAACCTTTATCACGATCCATTAGAAAACAGAGCACTGTGTTGGTCTTACCCTTTGGAAAATTGATGCAGTAAGTATGAATAATTGACACAAGGTCACAAAGGTAAATATTATCAGCCAAGACAAAAACTCCAACATTTAGGTATTATCAAGTCCTCTGTACAGACTATAGCAGTGTCTATATCGACTATACACTACAACAGAGTGATAAATCTCATTCAAAATTTGAAAGCCTATTCCAGCAAGGAAGTTCTCCACAGAATTAAGAGTTTATCATAGTCAATTTGTCATTTCAGATGGGACTTTTCCCTATTTTGTCCATTGTTGAGCAACCTCAACACTTCCAAGTGAAGTCCTTAGTGTGATAAACCATGTGAAGTGCATCTGTGTACACACATTTGAAGAGGACAAAGCAATTTCTATTTCATTGTTAATATATGGAAAACAGTTTTAAATGCTACACTGTTTCTTCTTCCAAAGTGGACCAACTATAATCTGTAATTCTAGAACCAGTTTTGTATTTTTATTTACAGGGAGATCTCTTGTCAGAATCTATGATGAAAATTATTCACATATGCTGAGAATTTCCAACCTGTAAAAACCTAGGGAAAAGATAATGACGGGACCAAGTTTACTGATCTGAAGAAGTTAAAACCAAAAATAATAATTTGACAGGGTTCAGTGGGGAAGAACAAGATGTACTTCTTGTGAATTACATATACTGGCAAAGACTAGAGTGCAAATATGATCTGACCTGTAAGGAAGGGGGTTGGTGAGTGGAAATACTAAAAAAAACCCCTCTCACAAGTTAGGCACAGAGACAACACAAACACCAATTAGCTGGCATTTAAGCAAGAAATTGTTTTCAGCTCTTTTGAGAATGTTTTCCCCATTTCATGCACAACCAGAGAGATCCCAATTTTAATACCACACGTATCAACAGTGCCCTCCAAGAACAGAATTACTGGAATCTTAAGCCAAATATATTAAATAGGAAAAGGAAAGACCTGCAATGCAAATCTTCAGCTCACAGAGAAAATCAATTTAGAAGAAGGCTTAAAAAAATAAGGAAACAAAGGCACAGTGCTCTGGTAGGTCTGATAACAATTTGAACAGAGGGGGACAGTGGTTAAGCAATTCCAGGTGTTTTCATGCGTATGTATATATTTGTAGTGCATCTGTGTCTATTTCATTCAGCTTCTACTTTCTTGGTGCTCTTCAGTAATCAAGTATTTGATTTGTAAGATGCTACATTAGTGCCAGCAGTCACAAAATGGTGTGATAAATAATACTCTTCAAAAAATATAAAAGCCACACTCTTAGTGAAGAAAGCAAATATCTTCAGCTAAGTGGAAATTAATATCTCCCTTTCATGTTTTTTAAATAACTCTGCTTAGCCACTTGGAAGAGTCCCAGCTGCCACAAAAAAAAGTCATACAAACTCCAAGCCCTCCTCAGTTTAAATTTCTGCTCCACAGCTCACATCTTGAGTGCAAACAGGACACTTCTTGCTGAATTAGACCATAAGGAATTGCCTTCGCAGACCAAATAAAAAACCAAATCTGATAATTTTTCCATTTTAGCAACTCATCTGAAATCAGTTCTATTACAGAAACATCAAGTCATAGGTTCTTGTTTTATCACACGCTTTATAAAGACAGGTTTGCTACAACAGCCTTGAAGGGGACCGGCAGTCAGGTTCCCACTGGTCATGCTCTTGGGCAGAAACACCTTGGACGTACTGCGGTTCAACAGGACCGGGCTTTTGCAACTCAGAGCTGGGTGTCCCTCAGGGACTAAAGCCACAGAGTTTGTGCCAGGTGGCATCACAGATTTTGTAGGGAATAAAATTTTGTTTTGTTCTAGAACAGTACGTTTTACAGAGGAGGTGGATGCACCAGATACTGATTCTTTTATCCCTTCATTTGGGATCCTGCTATATCGATAACTGGGGGCGTTATTTTCCATTCTATCTGACCAGGCCCTGTAGCGAACCTCTGCAGATCCCCAGTAGTGCCTAATAGCAGACTCGGAGCGGTGGCCTGTCACGGCCATTATCTCCCTGGGCCCCAGTCCTGCTTCACAGAGGAGCTGGATGGTGGTAGTTCGGAGAGAATGATTGGTGTACCGCTGAGAGAGCCTGGCTGCCACACTTATCCTGGGCATCATGGTACCCAGATAGTTCACACCCATTGGTTCTCTTTTGTACCAGACAGGCTGCTCTTGCATTTGCTCTGACGTTAGCTTTAGAGGGTGCAGGTAAAAGGCAGGGGGCTCTGGAGGCAACTTGGACAAATAAAGTTCCAAGGAAAACACAGGACAGTTTGGGTCCCCAGGCATATCATACATTTTACCCATTTTATGAGGATCTTCTCCATTTTTGCCTTTGCCAGGATATCTAAACATAGCATATCGACGCCCATTCTTGTCCTTCTCAACCACAAATGCATCTGGAGCCAGATCTCTCAGAATTTCCCTCCCTCGCTTGGCAAAATGCAACTGCAAATCAAACCACACCTTGTTGACGAGTGCCAGGGGACTGTGCAAACCCAGCACACCAGATTGCTTAATCCTACGCAGGTCCTCGGCAGCTATAGGAGGATGGTGGTGAGTCTCATCCTTTCCCTGCATGCGCAGCATCTTCAGCACGCTCACAAACACCATGTTTGCACTGGCAAACTCTTTGTCCTTCATTAAGCAAATCTGACGATTAAAAGGCGGCATTTTGAGATGCCGGTTTAAGCCAGCACGCATTGACTTGTAGCTTGCCACACTGTAGGTATTTCCATCATGATTTCTTATTGTGTAATAAAATTCTCTTAAGATATCATTGAGTTCACTTACTGGGACCAATTCAAAGCTAGGATCCTTGCCATTTTTGGCCAGCCACTGTTTTAATAGGTTAGCTGCCCAGCCAGTCTGCTTGTGGGTGTTTTTGATGCTCTTAGCATCCTCTTCCTCTTCCTCCAAGCCAAAGAGGACATCCTCAGGGAAGTTAAAATTCGTCTGTGCTGCTTGTACTGCTTCTTTATTTTCTGATGGTGTCTCTTCCTGTTTCAACTGCTTTTCGAAACAATTGATCAAAGTTGTACCATCAAATATGCCACAGGTATACGGCACACAGCGAGCTACGTTATGATCTGAGAGCTGCGAAGCGTGGAGTTATACATAATATTTGGGATTTTGTGTAACAAAAAGCAGGTGGCATTAACTGGATTTTTCAAATGAACGGCATGTCAATTCCATACCTCACTAGCCAATTAAAATACATCAGGTGCTTCCTTTTTAACCATGGCATTACACATGCTTTAACTGATTTCACAGAAAGCAAACCTAGAACATATACTACACAACAGAAGACTGAAAACATCTTATGCCTTATTTCCCTCCTTGTAGCTCATCTTCCACTGCTAAATACCATTATCATACACAATCTGTTTTTCCAATTTTTCCCAGGTTTCAGGCTCTAACTGAAGAAAAATTCCAAAATATGCATCTTATACTGAAAATTAAACCTTAAAACTGTACTACTGTCATCCATTATGGTACTGGATTTCCTACTTATCAAGTACTGACAAGGGTTTTGAATAGCTATAATCCACAGGTTGAAAAATGAAGTTCCAAACAACCTTTCTTTATCTTAATGGAAAGATAGAGTGAGACAGTTTATACTCTAAAATACTGGCTACCTTTGCCAGACTACTTTCAGCAGGTGAAAACCAGAATATTGTCCAGTATTTTTCTTCTTGCTTTGAAATACAATTTAGAATAACTGTACCTTGAAACACTAATGAATTTGGAAACGCTGTCTAGAAGAAATTACTTTTATTCCTCTTAATAATATGACTTCTGGTTAATAGGAAGAGTTAATTATGAGGTGCTCTGTGAAACATCTATAGACAGAAAGAAAATTATTTATGAAGAATTTAAGTAGCTTAATTTCAAGCTTTCAAAGCAAGTTCAACAAATTTTAGACAGGGAATCCAGAAGTATTCCAAGTCATCCTTTATCATGAAGTAGCTATTCCTGAAGAAGGTTTCTTTTCCTTTTTGTTTTTCTCCCACGATATATGGCAATCAAACATTAGAATTTCAATTTTAACTTCTGGATTAGTGTAGGAAAGAGCACTGCAATAATTTATAAAATATTTGTAGCTATATAAGTTCAAGCCATTCAGACAAAGACTGGGCAGTCTTTTCTTTGTATGCTAGCTCTGTTTTAGCAGACAACATTTAGTCTGCTCCTGATTTACCAACACATCTACTTAAAAAAATCCCATTAAAACACTTCTGAAAAAATTATCAGAAGCTCATGCTGCAAGTAACAGTGAATCAGAAAAAGAATAATATAAATTGAGAGAAACTACAAAGGATGGCACAAAACAAACTAAAATTGTTCAATTATGATCAATAATCTCCTGTGGATTGTAACTTTAGGATATTATATAGAAACAATCAACAGCCTACCTGTGTTGTTCCCTCAGCAGGTCGCTTGTTTGCCGCAGTATCTGTTGGTGGTCTGCTCATCTGGTTTTCTGAGGGGTAAGAAATTGTTCATTTGCAGTATCTATTCAGTACTAATTATTACTGCCCACTAGCCATATTTGAAGGCAACATGCAAAGCTGTTTGACACTGAATGTTCGATATGTGACATATTTTACATTTAGCCCCAATTTTCAATTACAAGTAGTCAAGTTTGATTAATGTGTTCCTTTCCTTTCCTTCTAAGTTTGACAGTATATTAAAAGCCTTTTATGAGCAATTTCCTTGCCTGCGAACAAAGTATAACTCCAACCTCTCCTCCCTCTGTACACATATTGATAAGCTATTCAACTAAAAATTAATACAATTGTTAAATATTTCTGTACAAAAAAAGACCTGACTGAAAAAAGGATGTTTTAAACAGACTGCAAAATATATAACTGAGGCAGGGAGACTGAGTATCTTTTATAGCTCAGCCAAACATTAAACTAGCAATTTAAGAAGCTGCTTTAATATTTGATGCAAATCTGTAAATTCAAATTCTGTTCTCGTTCCTTTTCATTTTAACGAGAGCTTATCAGCAACAGTGCTGGCCCAAATCAGTGATTCAGTTGTGGTGTGAAAACTACTAGGGCATACAGTAAATCTATGGAAACTGCATAAAATGAGACATTCTTTGGACACATAGGTCCTCCCTTTTGTCACTGTATCTCATCAGTCACAATCCTTTTTATGCTGTCTTAAATCACTTCAATTTGCTTTAGAGCTAAGAGTCAATATAACACATGTCTAACAATGTCTAACTCTACAGAGCACGTATTTTAGCACAGGTAACTTAGATACAGGAAAATGAAATGAAACTAGTTCTGATGTCAAGTTCTGCTTGAGTTCCTTCTAATTTATATTGTGCCAATGAGGCACTTGCCATAACTCCAACACTTACAAATCCTAAAGACTTCTTAAAAAGAAATTCAAGGTATGTAAAATCAGAAGTGCAGACAACCATCAGGGCAGGACCAAAGCTTGATAAAAAGTATTTAAAAGTAATTAATCTAATTATTGTTATTTGAACATTTATTGTATTTAGAGACTTTATTTAAATACTGTAAGTGTACTCCATTGGAACTAGGTTCATATTCAGTTGGGTTTTTTCTACCATTTTGTTTACTTTTAAGTATTGTGAAAATTAAGGTACAATTATACCTTCCTTTCAGTATGCCTTTACTTAGAAAGACAGTTCATATTATTCTGAGAGGCTGTGTTAAAATTAAACACCAAGTTCTTAATGACAGGAGTTTGACTTCATGCTAGGAATTATATAAAGCAAATTCTAAATAAAACAAAGCTTACAATGCCACACTGCTGACTCCAAGGGGAGTTTATTTTCAACAATGTCTGAAACAGATCTGTTGTAGAGATTATTTTGATCTTGAAAAATTCAACAGAAATGCAATCTAGAACTATCTCTGTAAAACACATTAAGAAACAATTTTCCACAGAGTGCAGTTTTATGTTTCTCTGTGACCACTATCTTCCTTTGCCAGTGCCAACATTCAAGCATAACTTACCAGGCTTGGGTGCTGCAGTGGTGGGTGGTTCAGTAGGAGCTGTACTACTACATGCAGGGAGAGGAATCTTCATCTGTAGGGGCGCTCGACTGGCAGTCGCATTATAAAGTCCTGGAGTACCCACTGTGGGCAAAGAAGTCCTTGTGGTCTGGGTAACAGGATGTGTAGTAGGAACAGCCTGTACTGTCAACGTTGTGCCTATTGACCCAACACTGGCTGTAGAGTTCCTTAGAATACCAGGACTGGGCACATGTGGGATGTTATTTGGTTTAGTTGTGTTAGTTGATGCCAAAGACACTGTAGTTTTGGTAAGGCTACCAACTGTAGACGAGTTTTGGACAGATATAAATTCAACGTTGCCTGATGGCTGGTTAGAGACCAAAGTCCCTGTGTGGCCTTGCAGAAGCTGAGTCTGGGATGACACTGCCACAGGTACATGCAGGATTACAGGCAAAGACTGCAATGAGACAGACACTGACTGAGTGCTGCCAGTAGGCACTTGGTTAGTGCCTACAACTGTAGCAGTGTTAGCTGTGGGAAGCACTGCTGTTGTCAAAGAACTGGTGGAGGACACTGGAGTCTGAAGCTTAGGATGTCCACTGACAACTGCTGGAGAAGCAGCAAGACTGGAAGCAGGCACTACACACAAAAAAATAAATAAAAAAATTAAGCACTTGAATCAGGTGGGAAGTTTCACTGCAACACAACAAATGGGAACAATTTATGATGAGGGCAGTGAGTCACTGGAACTGGTTGTCCACTGACAGTGAATGCCCTATCATTTTAAGCGTTCAGCATCAGGCTGGACAGGGCTTTGGGCAACTTGATCTTGTGAAAGATGGCCTGGTCCACAGTGGCAGGGTTGGACTAGATGATCTTTAAAGGTCCCTTCCAACCAAATACCTCTATGAAAAAGGTAGTGTATAATTACTTCTTTTTGCAAATAAAGGCTATAAGTACTATTTTTCTGTTGTACGCTGTCATGTTCAATGGCCTAGCTAAAGACACAGTCAATACTGCATTTCTGTTTATAAGAAATGTCAGAAAAAAGATATATTTAAACACCAATTACAGAAATGGTGGAGCAACTGGTACTTCACAAAACACAAGAAAAAAAACTATGTCAGTTATGACTAATTGCCTTGTATAGGTAGGACCTTGTATCCAGAAGGTTCTACCAAAACAAGGTATTAAAGTGTCAGAGAAGATACTGACTTTTATGCAACAAAACTTCACTATGAATTCTAAAGATCAGGAGCAAAAGACACTACTAAAAGCCAGTACATGCAAACTGTAAGATAATCCTGTGGGAAAGATTCAGCATTCGGTATTAAACTGTTTTTACAGCCAAGGACAGTGAGACTATATTGAATAAATTAATGGGGAGTTTGAGTTTATATTCCCGACAAAATTTTAATCTATAAATGCCATTTTTCAACATGCCTCCTTTAAGAAATGTGGTTTATAATTACTGTCTAGTTTCCCACTCAATTTCTGTAGTCATTAGGTAGAGAGAAGGGTATCATCAGCATCCTATTATTATCAAGTACAATAAGGGGCCTGAGACATGTTTCAGTTCTTAGCAGCCAGTTTTGCTGCCATACTCAGCATGCAGTCTACTGGAGCACCTCATTTACCACAAGTTCTGCTTGGCCAAATCAACATTTTTTCCCACACCTGGTAAGCATACTACACAAATATAAACTGGGAATGCACCAGAGAACTAAAAATAATTATTTTTTAGGTCAGGAAAAAAAAGGAGTAAAATCAGTTTTATTCTGTTTAGTTAGTTACTTCTTTAATGGAAAGCAATAAAACTTTTAAGAAATGTGTTTATAGTCCATAGGGAGTTTCTTACCTGGATTCGCAGGGGCTTGAAAAGTTGATGGTGTGCTCTCTCCTACATTCCTCTTTGACTCCAGCATTTGCCTTACTGTGCCAGCATTTCTAAGGAACAAAGTTTGAGTTGACATTTCTCCCAAAAAGCCACATAAGGTGTATTTATAAACAGTACAATGGTGAAAAAAATCCCTAATTTTACAGCTGTTCTTTTATTTCAGATTTTTTTTTCAAAACCCACTTTTTGCCTCTTAGGCAAATTAACTTTGGATATTTCCCAAATAAAAAGAAGTATGGAGTTACTTATAAATTTTCAAGTCCTTGCACCAAGCTTGTCTTGCACCATGAGAATTTTACTGTTCTTGAAACTAAACTTCCACTATTATCTATCATTTTTTAAACACTGAAACTGATGCTAAATACCATCTAGATTTAACCAAGAATGAGTTAAATTCTGTCAATTTATGACTTCTGTAAAAGCAAATCAAATTTTACAAGTGAAGAGCAATGAAGGAAAAGCAAAACCACTTTAATTTAAAAAGAAAGGAAATACAGAGATTATCTGAAGTGTCCTATTGTACCTTTTAACACTGTCCCAGTGATGTGCTTTGCTTACCGATATGTGGCATTGTTTACATTTGCAGTCTCGGGTGCTGCTTTCCCTGGAGATACAGGTGCATTTGCCACACTCTACACAGAATGAGAAAGAGAGGCCATAACAGAACAACTCTAAGTCAGCTTGCAAACTTATGCTTTCATTTTATTTCACATCCATTCACTGCTGTGTGAGATATTAATTTTCTGAAGTCAACACTGCAGGAAAATTTGACATATTTCACTAGTGCAGAAAATCTCCTTGGTCCTACTGCCTCCCTCTCCTATATCCTCCTTCTTCTTCCCCCTCTCATGCCCCAGAATCAATAGTGGGATGCACTTTTATTTGCACAGTACTCTTCATACTGAAGTAAATTAGATTCAGTTATATACAGTTTAAGGTGTTTTCACACTAAAAACAGCTAAAGAAGCTTCTGTATAATTCAGAATTACATAACAGATGTTAAGACTTCTTTAACCAAACCAGACAAATTCAATTTGTCAATGCCATTGAATAAACGAGTCACATCTTTCTGCATATAAATTTTCTTTATTTTCCAACACAACGTTTAGGCTAACTCAGAAAAAACCCCTAGACCCCAACAAATCTAGTTCTTACTTCTTGTCTCTTTTTCAAGTCCTCCTTGGCTGCTCCAACCCGCTTTGTCAATCTTGCAATTTTAGCCTAAACAGGGAGAAGATGAAAACAAACAAAACCATAAACCCCCAAGAACCATGAAAGAAATTTTATAAACTAAAAGATCTATAACTAAGACATCAAGTCAAAGGCTATTTTTATACGAGGGAACTTATTCTTCCTTGAAATACAGTACAACTGTGTTATTTTCATCTATATTATAGCAGAAAGACAAATGTATGCATCACAATCAAGGAATCTTAGAGACAAATTATTTTCCTTCCTATTCAGAACTGCACAAACTGAATCCATTGGGCACGGACATACAAAACTACATAAATGAAAACCTTACATGATGTTATTAATTTGACATTCTAGTTGATGGCTAAAGATACTGCTAAAGAAGTATATTGAAAGTATCTTAGAAAGCACTTAAAAGATCAACATAAAATGTCTGTGGCAACAAGAGGAAAGAATTGTACAGGGGGAACTTATCTGGCAAACTCCATATTTCTTTTAATGAAAAAAGTAAAATGGCCTTATTTTTTGAATTTGTTACAAGATAAGCTTTCAATTGTCTTGTCAGTACAAAATTCTTTTTTGTGATGTTCTTCATGTCACCATTATGTACATGCTTTCTATAAAAAATGCAGGAAAGCATGCTGCATTCAACACTAGCTATTTGCCTCCTTGCTAGAACATCAACTATTTACACTCTGGGGAAACGTGATGTAGGATGTTTGAAGTCCAGTGCTACTGTCCTCTCCTTTCTGAATGTTCCAATTTCTAAGCAAATTTCCAGCTTCATAAAGACCTTAGACATTTTCATACTTGGCATTTTTTTGAAAAATGTTTAAATGGTACAGAAGAGTGGAAAAGCAATCTACTAACAGCTAATGAATCACTTTGCCACATGGAAGATACCCTTTGGGGCTTCTATATGATTAATTGGTTGCTTCCCTCCTTCTGAGTAGGAAAACAGTTTTACAACTCAAAAGGAACATTAGTATTTGCTGCTCCCCCCACCACCTCCTTCCCTTGCGGAGTCAAAATGGTTTCCCTACTGGCAACTGTAGGAACCTTACTACTAAACACTGAGGAAGTTATTTTTGAATTTGACCCTAGTATGGAGTTGAACACACAAACACTCACCTGCATTTCAGTAAGCACATTTTTATGCCTTTTGTTGCATTCTACTTTCTCCATTCGGGTTTTCAAGTCTGCCAGAGTCTTGTCAAATACCTCACACTGTAAAGTGGTAAGTTTTTCTTCTAACAGTCTCTGGATAATCTGCAAAATTTTTACATAAAAAATACAACAATGCAATCCCAAATTTGGGGGACCATCTATAAAAATATTCTCAACTCTTAACAAATATCCTGCTATAAACAGAACAATGAAAACTGTTGTGCCCTGCCAATCAAATAAATCTACAGTCAGCAATAAGCATGTGGTTGCACAGCTAAGTTTTGACATAATTTTGGAAAATACAAATGATTTGCCATTAATTCAACAAATTAATTTCCTTGCAGTATAATAAGGGCATAAAATCTTATAATATATAAAAAGAACCATAACAACAGAAGGTATTCTTTTAAAGTGCAGTGCTTACACAAGTTAATTGTTCTTTTTACTTTTCTATTTTTGAGAGGGACATTGGCATTCAAAAAACAGAAGCTTAAGACATTCAACAAAAACTTTTTTCTGAGATATATTTTCTCGTAGCAAAAATTCAGTGCTGCCTTTCTTGCAGAAGCTAAAGACATAAGAAGACTGGTTTTCACAAAGTTTATTTGATAAAAGTTATTTAATGTTTTTCTCCCTTCTATACCTACTGCAGTGTAGAAAGTTTTCATAGGAAATAAAAATAAATAAGCCACTAATGTAATTCAGTTTTTGCCATACTAAATTAATGAAGTCACAACACATGCTAGCTAATGAACTAACAGAAGAACAGCAAATATTTTTTTTTCTTCAAGATCATATGTTCCTTATACAGCAATTGTGCAATCAGGCTATTAACAGCTCTACAAAAAGCTGCAAAATGCCAAATGTATTACACTCTTCTTTGGAGACTGCCTTTTTTAAAAGGCTAGGCACAAACTAAAGTGCATCACATATAAATCATCATTATTAACATTTTCAGTCCAGAGTCATATGAGGCTTGAAGTATTTTATACATTTCAGATGTAACTCCTACAGCATAGTTTTCAAAAGGTATTTGGTCTCTTTTTAAAAGGAGGGCTATGTAGAACTTTGTATAAATTAAGCACCTTTGTTATTTGAATTACATCCAATGTTCAACCACAAAAAAAGAGAAAATGTTTGGGGACACAGAGTGTGTGCAGAAGGACTGCTTATGCAAAGATGGTAACACAAGTGACAGGTGTGTGTATATGTTTTCTGCTCTGCACCTCTATTTTACCTTTTGCAATTTTAGGTCAACATCCTTTCTGGCTGTAATTTTGACTTGGAGTTCTGCTTCATAATCTTCTCCCATGCACCGACGATGTTTAGAATGAACATTGTCCATGTCCTCAGATTTGGAACGCTTTCTCTTTGATGCTTCACCTGGAACAATTAGATAAAACTGCTCATGAAGAACTCCTGAAAAAACAGGTATCTTCAGAATGCCATGATTACTGTGAAGTTGTTCTCAGGTCAAACTTTTTCATGCTAAAGCAGCAGTAATGCCTTTGGAAAAATATGCTTGATGACATCAAAGTACAAAACCAGTCCTTCTGGTATCTGTACATTACTGCCCAGCCAGTGAGTTCTGCTTTGTGATTCACCCAGTCGCTGCTCCAAATGCAAAATGGTTCTAGTACCACCACTCCTCTCGCCAGAACGTCCCTCCAGTTCTTCCTGCTCTATCAGCACCATCCTATAATGACACATGGCTTCTGAGAAGCAAAAGAAAATCTTCTTCTGAAAAACGAATTCTCTTCTCAGAATTCCAGCCAAATAAAACCACATCTCATTTAACTATGCCAGCAATTAACTGTATTTACTTGCCACGAAGCTTTACCTTGTACCTCCAACATCTGACTGAAAAACCATTCAAACTTTTTTTTCACTTCTTGGTTGATGGAAAGTAAAAATCTAACAAAAGAACAGGCTCAAAACAGAACTAGATTATAAAAGTCCTTTTTAATAACAGTGATGAAGCACAAATGAACTAAAGAGACCTCATTCTCTCCTCCAGATCCTGGCCTTGTGTCCAGAAGGTTCTCAAGGACAAAAGGGACCTCTGCTTTTAAATAATCTTCAGATTATGTAACAAGGACCCAGGGAACTACAGGATTATTAGCTTTACTTCAGTCCCTGGGAACATGATGGAGCAAGTAAATCTAGATAGAAATCATCTCAACGTCTATCAAGAAGGTGGTGATGGGGAACAGAATGGATTTATCAAGGGGAAATCAGGCATCATCAGCCTGATAGCCTTCTACAGTGAGACCACTGGCTTGGTGAATGAGAGGAGAACATCTTTAATAATGCTTCTGACACCCAAACCATCCTCAAATGCTTGATGTATGGCCTAGATAATTGCACTGGCTCAACTGTTGGGCTCCAGGAGCTGTGATTATTGGCACTTAGTCCAGCTGGAGCTCAGTAATGCACACCAGCAGATGATACTGGTACCAACACCACCATCTTCATTCATGACCTAGATAATGGGGCAAGAAGATATCTGCAGCAACTTGCAGGTGATACAAAACTGGAAGGAGCGATTTGTATACTCCTAAGTGGTTATGCTGACATTTGGAGTCACACTGACAAACTGGAGAAATGGGCAAACAAGAACCTCATGAAGTTGAAGAAAAGGAGATGCCCAAGTGCTACACTTGCATAGCAATAAAACCATGCATTAGTACAGGTTGGGAATTCACTGGCTGGTAAACACCTTTTTAGAAAAAGCCCTGGTGTTCTCTATACACATGAAGTTGAACATGAGCCAGCAATGTGCCCTTCTGGCAGAAAAGGCCAACAACATTCTCGGCTGCCTGAGAATGAGTACTGACAGCAGGTTGAGGGAGGTACTTATTCCCCTCTAACCAGGGAATGTGAGCCTGAACCTTGTGTCTTTTGTCCCGTTCTGGGTTTCTAAATACAAAAAAATATGTGAGCATGCTGGACAGACTGCAGCGTAGAGTCACCAAGATGTTTCAGAGACAGAAGCATTCATCAAGAGCTGAAATTGTTCAACTGGAGAAGGCCATTGGGGGAGATTTTATCATGTGTGTGAATTACCTGACAGGTGGAGCATGAACAGAGCAAGACTCTTAATGAGTAGCAGTGACAGGACAAGAGAAATGGATGTAAATTGAAATACAGAAATTTTCACTCAAACATTTAAAAACTTTTTCCTGTGAGGAAGGTCAAACACTGGGATCAGAACACAGGAAATTTCTGGAATCTTCACCCGTGGAAATACTCAAAACCTGTCAGGATATAGTTCTGGGCAAACTGCTTTCTAGTTGACCTGGTTTGAACAGGGGCATCGGACTAGATAATCATCAAAGGTCCCTTCCAAACCTAATGATTCTGTGCTTCTAAAACACACAACACAGTGAAACACAATGGTTTTAACATTACATACTTTTCTCTATTTGTTTCTCTTCTTTGTGGACCTCTTCTTCTTTATCTTCACATTCCTTTTTTCTCTCCCCCTCCACCTCTTCTATAAACAGAAGAAAAAAATCCATGTAACACTGTCTCAGATTTACAAGTCTTGCAACAGTCCTGTTTTGACTAACGAGTTAAGAAAACATGAAAAAAAACCATGTGAGGGAAGACAAGAGAAATAAGTATCACAAAGAGGGAATGCAGATATGAAAAAATTAAGGGAATACCCTCAAAACAAAAATTTGAACTATCATGCAACACATTCAGACTCAGTTTTGAATTTGTTAACATTTTAACCAGAATTACTGAATGCAAGTATGAGGGAAACATGTTTCAGTTACCTCTGAAACAAAATTATGTATTTTTAATGCAGCTGAAGGTCTCAACAAATTATTTTAGCTTACTTTTCCACTTAAGGACAAAGCATAAAAATTTCAGTAACAAAATACTAAAATACTAATATATTGCTCTATTTACAATTGATAACTTCAACTATAATCTTAATGGTAGGAAAAGCCTAGATTTAGGTTAACAAATATTAATTTTAATTTGAAGTTTCTTGCTAATACGAAGTATCACAATTTAGAACTAGGCATTCAAAAATACTCTTTTTAGGAAATGCTTAAAAGAAGAAAAATCTGAAGCCACCAAACAAAGATAAAAATGGTAGCACTTGCAGAAAAATTTTATTATATGTTCCATGAGCTTCCAATATGTGTTTCATATATACGTGAAAGAAACAAGCTTCCATTGTGTGTTTCTGTGCTTGTTAGAGACAACACAAAACTACTGGTTTTAAGATTACAGTAAAATCTATCCAGACTATAAGAGAGGAAGTAAGCACTGTTTTACACATCTTTATCTGTACACTTCTTCATTTGCCTATATTCATTTTGTTATTACTGCAGGGTTTACTAGCTTTTCAATGGAAAGTTCTGGTTGCAAAGATATGCTTGATGCTCTCTTAACATTAAATTTCCCTTCTATTACGAAGAACATTTAAATGATTTAAAACAAGTTACCTAATAAATGAGAAAAAGGAAGGAGTCAAAACCCAATAACCTGGCAATATGGTATTTTAATTTTTCTTATTAATGTAAAAATAATATTCGTAATACAAATTCTTCAATCCAAATCTGACTTACTTTTAAGGTAATAAATTAGCATAATGCCTATGCCACCTGCTTTTTAAGCCTTATAGATAAGCTTTGTGTATTTAATTGCTCTGAATAAAATAGGACTAGTTTACTTATGAATCTAAAGGAGAACTGTTAAGTTCAAGACAACTTTTCCTACAATTCAGAGATTTTAATATTCAGCTGAAAGACACAAATATTCCATGGAAAGACATGCATATCTAGAATGTCTTTAAAACATGTTACAATCTACAAATCCAAGGTCTTACTTTTGAAAAAACTTTATGGGGTTTTTTCCAAAAAACCTCTATATAGAGGACAAGTAATTTCAGGGATGAGAAGGCCCTTTCCTTACTAACTTCCATTACTATAAACAAATCTAAGGCACTTAACTAAAGGTGGTTTCAACATGATGCACAGCTGAACTCTCAGTTAAGGAGGAAAAGATTTCACAGTTGGCTATCAGCTTAGTTTCCACTGTTAAGCTGTGATCTCATTAGCCTGATGCTAAACAAGCAGAAGGAATGAATGCAACCTTGTCAGCCTCCTATGAGCTTGGTGTATCATAATAAAGTTTTCATGTTTCCTAATTTATTCCAATAATTTTTCACTTGATTTCTTCAACTGCCATTTTATCAATGTTTCCTCAAAAGCACCTACTATAATCCTGAAATATTTTTACTGAGAGGTCAGTTCTACGTTCTGACCAAGTTATGAATTTTGTACTCATGTGCACCACTTTGTAGATAATTACTATGAATTTCACCTGAGAAACCTGTTTGTTTCTCAGTCAATCGGCATTGTAAAATTCTCCAGTTCTTCATATCAGCAAACTGTGACATAACTAGTTACCATTCATTTTAGACAATTTATTAATTCTGTCATACAGCACAGTCTCTGGAACTAGTCTCTGGAACTCTGAATTTATTTTTTATTCTTCAGCTGATTATTTCCTCCAGGAGGCCTTTCCATTTTACTGTTTCAGTTCCAAAATTTCTTGGTAAGAAATCACTTGTGCTTGGATATCCAAGAGAATTCACATCACGGCTTCCTTGTCACATGCTTGTTTGCTTACACAAAAAGCTCCAAGGCTTTCTGATGTATGATATTTCATTACAAAAATCTGTGACAACACAGCTATTACAGTTACTAATTCCACTTGGGAAAGACATTCTATTAATCTGTTCATTTGAATAAAGTCTTCTAGTACCATTTTTCACTGCTGCTTAGCCATGTTGTTTTTTATCTTGACTTGTTGAAATCTTGCTTCTTAAATGAGGAGTTTGCATCTGTTTCTCCAATACAGAATATTGAAATTATCTCCATATGGTGTCCTTTTAAATTTTTATTTAAATTTTCTTTTTCCCAGACCCTTTCCAAAAGTTACTCTTTATAAAGTAACTCTACCTGTTTTCTCATACAACTGTTTCCTGCCTATGCAACCTCTCTGCTATTATCTTTGTTGCTGGTTAAGGCAGAACATAATTTATTTCATTTCATGAACAGTCTCAGTTACGGCCACACAACTCTAAGAGTCAAACGGTTATAAGCCAAGAAATAAAACACCTAGTCAAAAGAAATTGACTTGTCACCAAAATTTAGAATTTTTAAAATCTATTGCTGGATACATTAATTTTAAACTTCTGCAAACTGTAGTCCAGTATTTAATATTCACTTCAGTCTTTTTGCTCCATAGCAAATTCCCCTGTGACCCCAGAGTGTTTTCTCATTGGGTAAGATGAAAAAAGTAAACATAATGGCTTCAATGAGAGAACTCTTAAACTGAAGTGAGAACAAAGAGAACCAATATATTTGTACTGTTTATTTCATAAAAGGGAATCATAACACTACAATTTTGACACAACTACACACAACCTTCCTTCCCGCTGCTTCCCCACCTCCAATAGTTTTTGGAAGACTTTGTATGCACAACAGTGGTATCACTTTCTCAATCTCACTGACAACAACTAATGCCTACCTTAGCAGAAACTATGGAACCTACCTTATCTCCATTTAACTAGCATTATTTAAAGGTAAATACTAGAAAAGGAGGAGTCAAAAACAGGGCTGAAAAGCCATTCTTATCTCTGTTTCTCTAGCTGTTTGAAAGACTGAAGACTTAGAATGTCACAGTCTGATCATTAGTAAAACAAGATTTGAGAAACTATAGTCACTAACTTCCCAGAGACTAAAACCTGAATCTTATTTAAGCCATGAAATTTCTACCCAGTCAACCATATTTAAACATACTTGGGTTAATACGGTCATAATTTAATACAAGCTAGATGGGCGCGGGGGGCAGAAGAGGGGGAGGAAAAAAACCCAACAAAATAATTCCAACCCCAAGATAATCTGAAACATCTTTCTTAATTACAGATAAAAGAACATTGTCAACGTTTTGTAAATTATTAATTTTGTTTTCTTTTCAGAACTGCAAGAGTATAACAAAGACTGTCCATTGTCAAAATGAAAAAAAGCTTACAAAACTGTATTAAACAGTACACTACAAAGGACATCCATAGAGTTTAACTTAGAAAAATGTTCTGCTAACTACATGAAGAGATTCCACACTTAACATTTAAAAGCATCAATCAGTTGTCATAGTCACAGAAAACTTAGATAAAAACCACTGAGTTAAATGAATAAAAGCTATATGATATAAAAACAATACACGACATCAATTTTTCATTAAACTTTTTTTTCCCTACTGAAAGACAGTATTGGAAATGTTGAAAGAGAAGATGAGGTACACCTGGTTTATATGCGTGTTTTCCTTATCATTTATTTGCATGCTAAAGAAAGCTGAAATACTTTCTTCCCTGTGAAAGCAGTAAATGAATGCAGTTCCTCTTCTTGCAAATCCTTCTGTTCCCTCTCTGACAATTACTTATCTTTCCTTTTTCCACCCACTACCTCACCCAAGTTGGCACCCAAATTTACAGAGTATGAAAAAAACCCAGAGCAAACCAACAACAAAAGAACAAACAAACCCTAAAACCAAAATCCAAAACAAAAAAATCAAAACCACCCAAATCTGGAAGATGACCATTTTTCAGTACAAAGTTTTTTTCCTGTGCCTCAAATACCAACCTTGAAAACTAAGACTACATTACATTACTGGTAGGTAAGGTTGCCTCTTTGATTTAGAAATCTGACCCAAGTGTGTCAATCTAAGAAATGAACATCCCAAACTTAAATTGAAACTAATAATTAAAAAAATTCTTACCTGGAAGACTTGACTTGTTTGGCAATATCCCTTCAGTAAGTTCCTCCTTCTCATCACAGGGATCATCTTCATCAGACAGTACTAAGAAAGCCTCTTTTGGCAGACTTTCACTGCTTTCCTGCTTGGATGGTGAACCCAAACAATTGTCTATTTTTTCTTCTAAATCTTGGACTGTGTCATCCACTGGAAGCAGAGAACTTTTAGTAAAACAGCTCAGATCATCTTCAGCAGGGGCTAGTTTTTCCAGAATTGGAATAATGTCATCTGTTTCCATACACTCTGTATTGTCCAAGATACTTTCACCTGGCTCATCTATTGTCTTTGAAACAGTGGTTTCTGAAGGGCCTGCACTGCCTTCTTGTTTTTCCTGGTCAGCTTCCATACTGCTAGAGATGGCTTCTTCTCCAACACCCTCTTCAACAGTTACCTCTTCAGTTCTCTTTTCCTCACCTGTTCCAGATGAACTGGAATTAACAGGTAAATAATTTGTTTCTCCCTTCTCTTCAGAAGAGTCACTAATATCGCAGACTGGTTTACTTTCACCTTCCAATGGGATATCAGTCTTTCTTTGGTCCACATGATCTTTTCTATTATTTTCTTCATGGAAGTTATCTTTACTGCTACCAACTCCATTTTCAGCCTCACACGTTACTGCAATGTCAGTATCTTTAGCTTGTTCAGGAGTAACATTTTCTGAAGACAGCATTAGAGCTTTGGATTCTATGTCATTGACAATGTTTCCTGCCCTACTTTCAGGCCTTTTGGTCTCACTAATTTCATCACAAGCTGCTCTTCCTTCTTCAGAGTTAACACACAAGTCAACCACGCCATTAATTTCTTTCTTGACTTCCCCACAATCTGTATTGCTTAAAAGGGAATTCATATCAGAATCTCCATTCTCATGTTTTCCATTTAACAGTTTCACTTCAGTTGTCTTCAACAGCTCCTCTTTAGCCTTATAGACAGCTTCAAGTTGTTGCCGATCACTTACTCTCATTGTTTTTCGTGCTTTGAAGACTTTTTTCTGAGGTTCCTCTGTGCTATCCATTTTAGCCCTTAAAAAATTCAGAAAGAACTGTGAAGATAAAAATTCACCATTGTCATATTACACTGCTACTAAGAAAGAGTGCAACGTTTAGCACACTTTAAAGTAACCTGGTTGAAATGATACTGACAGAAACAAATAAACACCTGTCATCACTTGAATTTTATCTGACTTCCCAAAAAGTGAATCCAAGTTTCTCCATATGCTGCACAAACACATTTATGCAAAGGTCACAGAGGTCACACTAAGACATTATGCAGTAATATTCTAACTACACATTTCAGACCACTTGTCTCACACTATTCTATTTTAAATATATATTATACTAAGATAAGAGCCAGAAGCCTCTCTTCTCATCAAAAGGTAAAAAATAAATGTATAACTGATGGATCAAGAATATTTCTATTGTTCTAAATAGATTTAATTTCATAAGTTACAACCAGAATTAATAACTGGGGTAAATGACAAGATTTTTATATCAAATCACTTTTAAGAAAATTTCATCATGTACAAAGAATTTCTCAATGTCTCATTAAGATACTTTTTTATGCACAAATACAACAGACTTTCATCCTCCACTTTCATCTATACAATGGTTACATGAACTTGGATTTTTAGACCACTTTCATTCAGTCTGCAGTAACATTTTACTATGACTATTTGTGGCTATAAAAACTACAGGAATTGGAATACCTTGTAAAAGAATTCCCTCTTTCAAGGAAAACTGGTGGGTTTGCCCTCAAAAGTTATATTCACTCCATCCACCCACACAAGTATTAAGAAAAATATAAATGTTTATAAAAAGTGTAAGAAAAATGGTGCAAAGTCTATTTTATTAAATAAAAACATAGAGTTAAATCCAGCATTACCTAGAATGCTATAATGATTTTGCTGAAATGAAACAAAATCTGATTTCATCTGTTTCCATTTAACAAAACAAATCCATAGGGATTTTTGAAATATATTTTTCTCCCCATGTTGTCTTGCTTAATGGTCTTGTTTTAAAGGATTACATAAGATAATGTTCAGAAGCAGAAAGCAGCTAAGAATGTTCCTATATCCTAAATGTAACCCAACAACTACGATTTGAATCAGCTGGTGCTAACCAAATTAGGTCTGCTGAAGCTACAAACCACCATAAAGTTACTTCTACCAAGCATACGACTTTATTACATTTCTCAAAATCATGCAAAAATTATATTAAAAGTAATTAAGAGAAAAATCATCAGGCAGTTATCTCAATATGACTTTTTTGCCCACAAGGACCAGATAGGCAAATATTTATAACATTGACACAGCAGAATTATCAGGCAAAGGATGCACTTTAAATACTATGTATGACTCATTTTGTGTCAGCTCCCAATTAATTTTCATTTATAGAACTAAGAAATGAATAAATATATTGCATTTTGTCTATTCAGGGGGATATAAATTATTTTAAATTTTTTTGATAAAAGAAAGTAGGATTACTGCTAACACTAGCTCAGATCAATGACAGTTTTGTGTAACCACAAACTCAAGAGCATTTGGACAACCCTCGTGGGCAGGTGGAATGATTCTTGGGGGTGCCAGGCGAGGAGTTGGACTCAACCCCCTGTGGGTCCCTTAGAACTCAGGATATTTGACAATTCGACGAACCAAGGTACAAAATTCAGAACACAGATGCCATTAAATAACAATGGCTCCACTCCGTTTTGTAGCTGACCTCATCTACAAATTTTATTTAGGCAATGCTAAGATTGCCCTTTAGCCTTCTCTTCAGCAGACTGAAGCTGTCAAGCTCCCTCATGGGTCACACGCTTTAGCTACTATCATTTTGGTTTACTGCATCTTTCTTAGTTTATTTGGAATAATTTTTTGTGAAGAGAATTATTTAACATTTATCCCTAACTACAATATTCAAGAATATATATTCTAAAGTACAATATGGATGCTACTGTAAACCCCAACTCACGATATACCTTACATTACAATTCTAAGGTTTATTTTATACTTAACACGACCTGACAAAAACACAGACAAAGCACAGAGCAATTTTTTATATTTCCTTTTAACTTAGCACTGAGCTTCCCTTACCCTTTTCTTGAGTTATTTTCTGCAAAACAATCTAGAATCCTTAGATTTGGGTTACTGATAGTACTTACACTTTGACTCACACCTCAAGAACAGATTAACAAATTTTGACAAAAAGTTGTATCAGGTCTATTTATGAACTCTCAATAATACCATTATGATTATTTTTTTGCCATTCTGACCTAGATTTTCTGAACTGGATTGTCTACTACTGCATTGCCACTAGTGGGAGCAAAATATAACACCCACAGAAACACTGATCTGAAACACCAGTTTACTTGAGTTGAAAAAAGGTTCTCATCACAACCATTTTCAGTCAGATGGCTTATGAACTCCAGGTGACCTGTTAATGCCTTTCCAGAGCTGTCTACATGCTAAATACAATTACTTCATATTCCTTCAGAAAAGAATACATTTAATGCAAGAATTTTACACCTGAGAGTACAAAAAGCACGTAAAGGTCTCTAGGATTTTGGAAGTGCAAGTGCAGTTTTTAGAAGCACATCCCTTCTGTCTTCCCAAGAACTCAGAATGGAAGGCAGACATTTTCACATCACACAAACCGCTTCATTCATATAAACCCCTGTAACACACATGCTGTTATAGATTTTTATCTTGTAAAGGCAATTTCAAAAAAAAAAAAGCAGGCTTGGTTAACCTTGAACAAGTCCAAGAACTCCTAATAGGAGAGCCACTAGTGAGAACCCTCTGGCAGCACAGTACAAAAACAGGGCCTCTGCATCAAAGTTACAATAGGATAGTCTGATCTCCCAGACTACATCATTTTCTTTTATAGGCATCACGCAGAATTTACAAAATATACTACAAAATTCACAGTCTTACCTTTGCTATGATCAGAAAATACACTAATAGATTAATGTAACATTTACAGGTGTCTTAAAATCAAATCTGTAATTGCACCACTCGAATAACCATATAACTTAAAATAAATTAATATTTGCTGTTCTAATTTTCTTAAATCATCTAAGCAGTTTTTCATTAACATCTTTAATACAGAGTAAATACAGAGAAAATAAAAGACACTTCTTTTTACATTTGCCAAGAAGAGCAGTCTTTAAAAAATTCAAACATCAGAATCCCTTTATATTAATGCATCCTTACTTTTTATTGAAAAAAAAAGGATGAAGAAACTTGAATTGCTTATATATTAAAATATTATGTTCACTTTTTATCTTAGGATATTATCCAAAATCTAGTTAAAAACAAAGCACTAGCACAGATCTGGAAAGAACCTGTAGGAAATACAGGCTTCTCAAAATTCCATTGTTAAATGGTTATGGGCATAACTCAGGCATATTGTCCTGCTCAATCCCACAGTCTTTTGCAACCAAAGAGTATTTGATTAAAGCTACCAAAACCAATATTCCATAAAAACTACTGTGACAAAATTATAAGCATAGATGAGACAAACCAGTGTTTTGTGTTCATCTTTGAAAACAATGTTTTAAAATATCTTTACCAGGGCAGACCAGTGTTGAAGCATTTCCAGCCATACCCACAAGGGAGCACAGTGCAGCCAAAGAACAGACTCATGCGAGGGCTGAGTGCAGGAGAAACAAATCAACTGGCAGCCAGTCCAGACAGACTTGGTCACACCAGTGTAAGCCAGTCAGGCACCATTTGATGAATACTGGTTTCCAGTCTTTCAAAGGGGCAAGGTGCACCCCTTCAGAGAGCAACAGAGCAAATTACATGGATTCAGTCTTGCACAAATAAAACTTATCAAATTACTACTATTCTAAATGAATGCATTTTGGTAGTCTCCCTTTATAGTTAACAACATGAAGTTTAGCTATGTTTGTTAAACACCTCCCTTATCTGATGTTTGGGTGTTTTTTTTACTCATTGTGTGACCAAGTCACAAGGAGGAAACCAATGGCCCAGGCACCAAGCCAACATAGTAACACCTTTTATTTCAAAGAATGGCTTTTGCATGCATCAGTACAAAATTACTCCGGCATGTACAGATACCTGTGCAAGGGTTAAATGCTGTAAATAAAGATGTAGGTTTTGGGCTGATTGTTTTTGTTTTATAAAAGTCAACAATTTTGATAGGCCAACATACATGCTGTGTTCATTTGTTTAAATACAAAAACTCCCTTTTTCATTTTAAGCTTTGAAGTCATACATAATTAGTCATGTGAGACATGAACACATCATTAAGCACCTCCCTCCAAAATTTAGAGTCCTTCTCATGACGAAATGTGTGCTAAATAGCACAAAAGTTGCGAATGCAGCTAGGACTGTAGGAAGGTCTCTGAGACATTTCCCCTCTATTTCCTATTTTTTTATTATTCTTACCCTGTAAAGAGATGACGGCTCTAAAGCAAGAAAAGAATGTATTAGCTGGTATGCATCAGCCTATGATCACGTGCTCAGGTAAGCAGCCCATGAGCTGCTCAAAAAGAGAAGCCAATGAGCATGGAGCTGCCTGAATCCTGCCTAGCGACAGGCAGCAGACAAAGGGAAGGTCATGGGAAAATGAGGGGGGGAAGAGGGAGAAGCTGCAATCTGAACAATAGTGCGTAATGGGGTTTGCATAACATCACGGGTCTAGAACAGCACCAGCGAAGGGCTCCTCGAGGGCATGCAGCACCAGACAAATGCGCCACAACCATAAAACGTTTGTCAAAGAACAAGAACTACATGGAAGAAGTAAAATTCACTGATAATGAACATCAGCACTCAAATGTGGAAGCCTACTTACAATGTAGCATAGCCAAATCAAAGAAAGTGAAGCAGCAAATGGTCATGAGTATTGTGTTCTAGATGGAGGCTTCCAGAGAATGAAAGTGGTGAATAAAACCTACCTTTTAAGTAGTGGTTCATAAAAAGCAGTTTTCAGTTGAAATTCTCCATAGCAATTTCAATATAAGTTGTCAGAAATTTACAAACTATTTTCAAATAAGGAAAAAAATAATGTTTGCGACCTACTC